ACTTCGATTGCACCATGGCAAACACAATACTTTCATCAAAATCAGGTCTACACCAGTGGAAGGACACAACTGTGGCTGATATGTATCTTTTCTTTACCACAATAATGCTTATGCCACATGTGTATAAGCACACTGTGAAATCATACTGGTCAACAGACCACCTGATTGCAACCCCAGGTTTCAGTGATATAATGCGAGTGAATTGATTTGTGCTACTATTACGTATGCTTCACTTCTCAGACAAAACCAGGCCTGACAGAAACGACAGGTTACATAATATTAGGAATGTGTTTGTATATGTAAAAGAGAAATTCAATATGTATTTTTATCCCTTCAGGAAGCTTGTTATTGACGAGTCTTTCATTCTGTTCAAAGGAAGACTCTCTTTCAAGCAGTACATACCAAGCAAGAGGAAACACTTTGGTATAAAGTTGTTTGTGCTTTGTGATTGCTACAGTGGTCTTGTATTGGATATTATTGTGCACACTGGAAGTTATACATTGCAAAATACCAGGAAGTTATTGGGCATCTCTGGTGATGTGGTTAGAACAATGATACAATCATACCTTGGTAAGGGGCATATATTATATACTGATAACTGGTACACAAGCCCCTCACTCAGTAATTTTTTGCAAGTGAACATGGCAGATGTGTGTGGCACAGTGCGTGCAAATCGTAAACATATGCCCAGGTTTGACGCTGGCACTCATAGAGGTGAGGTGCAGGCGTTTGCTGCCAATGACATCATGGCATTTCGGTGGCATGACAAACGAGATATCACACTGTTGTCATCAGTTCACCCTAACGAAATAACAAACACTGGCAGGCAGCATAGAGACAGCAATGAACCCATTCTAAAACCTGTAGCTGTGATTGATTACACCTTCAATATGCACTCAGTGGACAAATGTGATATGCAGATTGGGTTTGCTGATTGTGTTCGCAAGAGTTATAAGCGGTACATAAACTCTTTTTCCATCTTCTGGACATTTCCATGCTCAATGCTTATAATATGTATAAGATGAGGACCAGAAACAAACCACCATATGGCAAATTTTGTTTGTCTGTCATCAGACAAATAGTATTCAAGTACCAAGGAGCAACACCTGCAATAGAAAACCGCCCACTAAATTATCAACAACTATCTTCTCGTCTGAAGCATGGTGATCACCTCCTAATACAACTGCCTGCTACTGCTTTCAAGAAAAAGGCTCAGAAGAGGCGTTACATCTGTGCACATACAAAAAAAAAAAAAACCCACAATAACACAGACACTCGTTTTATGTGTGAGGAGTGTAAAACACCACTGTGCATGACACCATGTTTCAAAGAGTTCCACAGGGTGCAGAACTTCTAGAAACATTCCCTGTGACTGTATATGTGTATATAAAATATAGAAAAATAGTAATAAACAACATTTTATATCGTTTGTGTGTGTAAACAACTTTTATAAACAATATAGTGACAACAGTGTTTGTGCAGTTGTTGTGTAGTAAATAGAGAAAAAACTTACAAAATAATACTCATACTGGTCTCACAGGCCATAAAAGTTACTTGAAAAAAAATACAAAAATAATAGAAAATACCTAAAAAACTAAATAAACTAAAACTGGGTGACCGGTAGTTGGCAATGTTAACATATGCCAGTCATTTTCAGTCAACTTCACACCTCCATATCTTGGTAAGTATTGATGGTAAAAAATTTTTGTTTAGCCTATAAGATTTAAAAAAAAAAAACTATCTTTTCATAAGAAAAAATAATTTTTTTTTTAATTTTTTGACCCTGAGAACAACTCTGGGAGAGGGCCTGTCAACCCTGAAAGGGTTAAGATTTCCCTGAAGTGGAACAAGGTTTTGTCACTGAATATGTTGCAGATATGGCTTGTTTTAGATTGGTCAGCGTGATACTTTTTAACAAAAGTTTGCAACTCATTCCACATCTGGCTGGCTATCTGGCTGGCTGGTTATCTGGCTGGCTGGCTATCTGGCTGGCTGGCTGCCTGCTGGCTGGCTGCCTGCCTGGCTGGCTGCCTGCCTGGCTGGCTGGCTGCCTGCTGGCTGGCTGGCTGCCTGCCTGGCTGGCTGCCTGCCTGGCTGGCTGCCTGCCTGCCTGGCTGGCTGCCTGCCTGGCTGGCTGCCTGCCTGGCTGGATGCCTGCCTGGCTGGATGCCTGCCTGGCTGGATGCCTGCCTGGCAGGATGAGAGCCCAGGGTAATGTTCACTCAAGGATAAACAATGCTAGACTGGCTGACAATGCCTGTGCGGACAGGTCTGGTATGCCGGCCAAAACCCAGGGCAACAACCGAAACCCAGGGCAACAACCGAAACCCAGGGCAACGACCGAAACCCAGGGCAACGGCCAAAACGCGGGACAAAATTTGGCCGAAAAAAGCGGGCAAAACCCAAAGCAGCTGAAACCCAAAGCAGTCGATTCCCAGGGCAGCCGAAACCTGGGGTTTCACTGTAATTATTATATTATACATATTATTATTATTATTATCATTATTATTATTATATTTGTTAGTACATATGTATTCTTATAATAATACTCTTGCTTACCATTTGGAATTTTTTTCACACAAAAAACAGAAGATTTACTGTTATGCAGACTACTGCAATATTGTAATAATTGTACAAATAATGTCAAGCCATTCATGACTGTGTATTGGAATGGCCAGTTGAACTGGCCAAAGAATCGAACATTTCTGCTACTTTGAGCTTAATTTCAAGGCACTTTTCATCATAAAACCAATCAAAATCATATATATTTCTGTAATATATCTTCCATTCTATCAAATGAGACCAAAAAACAAGAATAGAACCATAAAAATTGTACAAAAATATACCGCTAAGGGGCGGCTAATGGCTGAGAAGTGAACTCTGTTATTTATGGTCTGATTTCTTTCAATTTTGGTGTACATTAAGAAGCATCTTTCCATCATATGTTGCCCAAGTTTCAATAAGATGGTCCAACAAACAACTGAGATCCAATTCCCTAGATCAAGAGCAAGAGCCCCTTACCAGCATCAAGGAACCTCCCTTGAGGCTTGCTTGCATTTTGAAATTTTGCTTGCATCTGGAAACAAAAAATCAACCGAGAGACTGCTTGTATCTTGAAAAACTCGCACGCTGGGGCACTCATAAGAAGAGGTTCCACTGTATATGCTTGTACATGCATGTGTAGTGTGACCTAAGTGTAAGTAGAAGTAGCAAGACATACCTGCAATCTTGCATGTTTATGAGACAGAAAAATACACCAGCAATCCTACCATCACGCAAAGCAATTACAATTTGGTAGGACAGTAGTATCGCCCTGGGTGGTTGCTGTCTACCAACCTACTACCAGCAAGTAGTTAGAAGAATAAAACACATGTGCCACACCAGCGGAAGGCCTTGATCAGATAACCAAAAGTTCCAGTGACTTGGTCGTAAGACCTTAGGAAACACTTTTCCTTACCTAAACTTATCTAACCTAACCTGTGTATCTCCAAATGTTGCACATGTCTTATTCATAAAGCCACAAAGACACAACTGGAAACTTTATTTGAACAAAGTTTCATCTGAGGCTATCTCAAGTAATATGTATCAAAATGAAAAAGAAAAAGGCTGTTATACAGATGAAACATTGCCTAGATAGTTTATAATTACAATAAGGTGTCCTATAGCTCGATTTCTAGTGCACTCAACTCACACAGTGAGGTCCATGGTTCAATCCCCAGTATGGGTGGAAACATTAGGATGTGTTTCCTTAAGACAACTGCTGTCCATGTTCACCTATCAGTAAAATGTACTTATAGAAATAAAGATTATTATTTATTAAATATCAAAATGATATACAATACTGACAGGCTGGTAGGTAAGACACATGGGCAACAGTTAGGCAACTTTATTCTGAAACGTTTCGCCTACAAAGTAGCCTTCTTCAGTCGAGTACAGAAAGTAGGCAGGAGCAGTAGAGATGAACATAAGAATGGAGGAACACTGCAGAAGACCTACTGGCCCATACAAAGAAGGTCCTTATCAAAACTACCCCTGCCCAAAGCTACCCAAGAATTTACCCCCGTACCCAATGACACCAATCAAACCCAGCCCCTCCCACTCATATATTTGTCCAATCTCTTTTTAAAGCAACCTGAGGTCCTAGCCTTGATCACCCTACTTGAAAGATTGTTCACGCATTCACAACTACGTTCGAAAACCAATAATATGTCCTTTCTAAATCTAAATTTATCCAACTTAAATCCATTATTTCTGGTTTTTACCTGGTTCGACACCCTCAGTACTTTATTAATATCACCTTTGGAACAGAACTTTTCTCCAGGCTGATGGACTGACAACCTCAAATCTAAGGCTCCAAGTGTGATGGACTGATTACATCGTCTTCACATCTGTACTGCTCCTGCCTACTTTCTGTACTTGACTGAAGAGGCCTACTGTGTAGGCGAAACATTTCAGAATAAAGTTGCCTAACTGTTCCCCATGTGTTTTACCTACCATTATTATTATTATTATTATTATTATTATTATTATTATTATTATTATTAGTGTGTCTGAACTCGCCTGTATTCCCATACTATTTATGGCTACATAAATATCAATAGTATGATTTACAGACAAATATGTTAGCAACACACAGTGTGTGAGAACTGATAACATCTGTAAAAAAAAAAAAAAAAAAAAAAAAAACTTTCTACAGTAAGCCTACTACAGGGTTCCTCCATTCTTATGCTCTTAAATGCCATAAGGATGAATCAGACATATGTGCAACATTTGAGTATCTTTAAACCCAGATGTTGCACGTGTCTAACTCATGATCGTGTCGGTATTGCATACCACTGATACCCAATTATTACTATTATACGTAATCATAATCAAGCACTAAACCTGTATGGGTCATACAGCACTGCTCACTGATAAAAAAAAATCCACACACGACATACCGAGTCTTAACATCAATGGCTACAACCTGAGATTTAGAATGTAAATGATGAACACTCTACCTGCTTTTACGCCGCCTCCTGTTAATCCGTTCACTGTCTGTATCACTCGAGTAGCGTCCCATACTAGCAGCAGCTACACTAGCAGCAGCTCCACTAGCAGCAGCTCCACTAGCAGCAGCTACACTAGCAGCAGCTCCACTAGCAGCAGCTACACTAGCAGTCTTCCCACTTCACACGGAACCTCTTCCACCTCCCAACACGCCGCAGTTATCCCACTGTTTATATTTCTTTCCTCCTGGGTGTATATACACTCCTGCCTGAGTGTATATATGTGGCTGGCACGATGCTGTACAAGATAGTTTTCCTCACAGCACTTGCAACAATGCAACGGTCTCTGTTGTTGCTGTGGGTTTTGAGGGTCACTAAAGCTTATGACGTACTGAGCTCTGATTCCCAGGTTCTGGGAAAGAAATAAAGCCTAAAGCTGGGCGGAAATGGGGAAACGAAATAAGTTCCCTTCGAAAATAGAAACGGAAATAAAACTTTTCCAATTAGTTTAGGTAGATCACACTTCTGTACAACAACAACAACAAAAAAAAACAGAAACTAACTCTCTAAGGTGTCAACAACCGGTTTCACACAGGCCGGAAAATAGGAGCTGATTTACTAATTACTCACGCTAAAGATTCAATTCATTCAATTCAATTCAAAGTTTATTCTCTATAAGGATTACAATGCTGAGTTTACATAATTTGGTTATTGTGTGCTTTACATGTAGTAAAATAATGATTACAGAGTGTACCACTAGAACACCTAGCATGGCTAGGCATTTCGGGCAGACTTATTTTGATCCTCAATTGTAAAATATTACAAATTATGAGGTAAGTTGGTATTATGGCTAAGTGACTAAATACTAGTTTGTAAGTTTAGCAATATGAATGCTTTTGTTTTGGCACAGTACATAGTTTCAGTATTGGAGTATCACAGGATTCATTATTTTAAGATTGAGATTAATATTTCTGTTTATGGTCAAATGGGTGAGTGAGTGTAAGTGTGAACCACCAGGTGGTATTCGTGTAGTTAGTTGACAGGGTGTATCAGGGAGATAAGATGTTTTCTGATGGTAGTTTTGAAGGTGATGAATGTGTCTGCAGTTCTAGAGTTCTCAGGTAGGGTGTTCCAGATTTTAGGGCCTTTAACATACATTGAATTTTTGTAAAGGTTTAGTCGGACACGGGGAATGTCATAGAGATGTTTGTCTGGTGTTATGCCTGTGGGTTCTGTCACAACTATCAAGAAAGCGTTTTAGGTCAAGGTTGATATTGGAGTTTAAGGTCCTGTAGATGTAGATTGCACAGTAGTAAGTGTGGATGTACTGAACAGGGAGTAAGTTTAGATCTATGAAGAGTGAGGGGGGGGTGTTGCCAGGGATGAGATTTAGTGATTATTCTTACTGCAGCTTTTTGTTGGGTTATTATTGGCTTTAGGTGTGTTGCTGCAGTTGATCCCCAAGCACAAATAGCATAGGTGAGGTATGGATAAATAAGTGAGTGGTATAGTGTGAGAAGGGCATTTTGCGGCATGTAGTATCGTATCTTGGAGAGGATCCCAACAATTTTGGATACTTTTTTGGTTATGTGTGCTGAAATTCAGGTTGTTGTCAAGGTATAGGCCTAGGAATTTGCCCTCATTATGTCTGGTAATTAGAGTGTTGTCGATCTTAATGTTAATTTGTGCATCTCCTGCTCTGCTACCAAACATAATATTAGTAGGTTTTGTCAGTGTTAAGCGTAAGTTTATTGGCTGTCATCCAAGTCGATATTTTGATCAGCTCCTCGTTAACAAAGGTATTGAGGGTGGCAAGATTAGGGTGAGAGATGACATGTCGTGTCGTCAGCAAAGAGAATGGGTTTCAGGTGTTGGGATACGTTTGGAAGATCATTGATGTATATGAGGAAGAGCAGGAGACCAAGGACACTTCCCTGCGGAACTCCAGTATCAAGTGGCCGTGTTGTTGATGCTGTGTCTTTAATGGTGACATACTGATACCTATTAGTAAGGTAAGATTTGAAATAAGCAAGCGCATGGCCTCTTATACCGTAATGGTCAAGTTTGTGGAGTAGGATGTCGTGGTCTACTGCGTCAAAAGCTTTTCTTGGGTCAATAAAAATTCCGAGTGGATATTCCTTATTTTCCAATGCTGTGTAAAGCAGATCTAGCAATTTTATGATTGCATCATTAGTGCTTTTATTTTTCCTGAATTCAAATTGGCAGGGGTTGAGTATATTTTGTGCCTTTATAAATGAATATAGTCTCCTGTGCACGAGTTTCTCAAAGATTTTGGATAGCAATGGTAAGTTTGATATTGGCCTTTAGTTGTTTAAGTCTGTAGGGTCACCACCTTTATGTATTGGTGTAACCCTTGGCATCTTGAGTAGTTTCGGGAAGGTGCTAGTTTCTAGTGACTTGTTAAACAGTAATGAAATAGCATGCAAAAGGACATGGGCCACTTGCTTGTACAGTAATGGTGGGACATGAGACAGATTCCCTGAGTTATTTTAAAGTGACTTTATAATCTCGGTGACTTCCGTGGGCTCAGTTGGTGCAAGATAGAAGGAATTTGGGAAATTTCCATCTAGGTAGTCCCCGGCATGGCATTGGTATGTGGGATTTTATTGGCGAGATTAGATCCTATGGTTGAGAAGAAGTCATTTATCTTGTTAGCTGTGTCAGTGGGATGTAGTGGTGTTTCATTAGGTTTAGTTAGAACAATATTCTTGTTTTTTTTAGTTTGTGGGTCCCTAGAATCTGAGAGAGTGTTTTCCAGGTCTTTTTTATATCTCCTCTAGTGTCTGTGAATCTACTGGAGTAGTATAGTTGTTTGGCTTTCTTTATTACTTTGGTGAGAACTGATGAATAGTGTTTAAGAATATCTTTGTGTATTAAGCCCTGTCTATATTGCTTTTCATATTGGTGTTTCTTGTCAATGGATTTCAGAATGGTGCTGGTTAGCCATGGGCAACCAAACCGTTTGTTTGTGATCTGTTTCGTTTTTATAGGACAATGTTTGTTGTATAGTCTAAGTAATTTGTTAAGAAAAATGTCTGTCCAGTCATCAATACCATTGGCCTTGGAGAATTCTGTAGGCCAGTCAACAGTCTCTAGGTCAGCTGTGAACTTCCTTATTGAGGCCTCGTCATGGAGTCTAAATGAGACTTTGTTGTATTCAAGTGGTGGTTTACTAATGTTTGTCAGGAGGAAGGTAGGGTAGTGGTCTGTAGTGCTATCTGTGATTATTCCTGATTTAAGGGGGGCTAGTATATTGGTCCATATGTGGTCTATTATGGTTGCACTTGTCTCAGTGAGCCTGGTTGGTTTAGTTATTGTTGGTATGAGAAGTGTGTTGTTCATATTGTTGATGAAATCAGTTACAGGTTGATCATCTAGTATGCCAAGGTTGATGTTGAAGTCTCCAGCTAAGAGAAGGTGGTGCTTATTCATTTGTCTGTTTGTTATTAGTGACTTTAATTTCTCACTGAAATTTGGGATGTTTGTGTGAGGTATCCGGAAAATGGCACCGATTGTTATAGGTGTCTTAAGATTTTTTACAGTAAAATTAGCAAAAATGTATTCCCCATATTCATCACTAAAGCAAGTGGTGCTAATACAAGATAATTGGTTAGAGTAATAGATTGCAATACCACCCCCAACTTGGTTTGGTCTGCAGTTGTGAATTGTTGTGTATCCTGGTAGAGGGTAGATATCTATTGTGTCCTGCTTAAGCCAGGTTTCAGTAAGAATATTGCAGGAGAAGGGTGTCTTTAGTGATTCAAGGAGTGCCAGGAGGTCATCATAGTGTTTGCTTAAGATAGGTAGATAGGTACTCATAATTAAGATAGAACGACGAGTTTCGGTCCACCCTGGAACGATATCAAGCCGCAAATGAGCAAGATTAAATAGAGAAGTCCTGAAGACAGGCCGGAAAGAGAGTGAGACGTTGGTGGTGGTGGTGGTGGTAGCAGTAGTAGACGAAACTACTCTGCATTAGGTGGAACGTTTCTTTCAATAAATGCCCTGAACTGTACATAAGTGTCTTTTTCCACACAAAGCTACTTTTATTCTTAAATAAGAATTAAGGATTATTCAAAGCATTTACGTCCGCTGAAACTGGGTTATTTAATCCCAAGGAGGCGTCGTTAAATTTCATCAGATGGTTGGCGAAATTCCTGTGTTGTTCAAGTTGGCGACTCTGCATGCATTAATGTGCTCTTTTTAGTGGTTATTTCTTGTCAGTCATCACAAGAAAACATAAATAATATACTGAAGCAATTGAGACACTTGTGCAACACATGGGAATCTTTGAGGAAATGGTATGGTGATACCGACAAGACGTGGAAAAAGACACTTATGTACAATTCAGGACGTTATTAGGTAAGACACATACGCAACAGTTAGACAACTTTATTCCGAAACGTTTCGCCTACACAGTAGGCTTCTTCAGTCGAATACAGAAAATAGGCAGGAACAGTAGAGATGTGAAGACGATGTAATCAGTCCATCACCCTTGTAGTCGTAGAATTTGAGGTTGTCAGTCCCTCGGCCTGGAGAAGTTCAGTTCCATAGTCAGGAACTATCTGAAGATCAAGCGACAGTGCGGAGACTTAAATACTGTCGGAAGGAGAGGTGCAGAGTAGTATTAGTAGTAGTAGTAGTAGTAGTAGTAGTAGTAGTTGTAGTGAGAATGTGACCACTGAGAGGTCATGTCCCTCTCAGATCCAACACTTCTCACTTGAAAGCTTGTCCAAGGTGTTTTCTGTACCAAGATGCCATGTGTTGCAGTGTCTGACAAGATGAACATCAAAATGGTATACAATACCGACAGGTTGTTAGGTAAGACACATATGCAACAGTTAGACAACTTTATTCCGAAACGTTTCGCCTACACAGTAGGCTTCTTCAGTCGAATACAGAAAATAGGCAGGAACAGTAGAGATGTGAAGACGATGTAATCAGTCCATCACCCTTGTAGTCGTAGAATTTGAGGTTGTCAGTCCCTCGGCCTGGAGAAGTTCAGTTCCATAGTCAGGAACTATCTGTATTCGACTGAAGAAGCCTACTGTGTAGGCGAAGGTAGAGGATTCGATGGGCTTGTTAAAGAGGGTTGCAATGATTGGTGACAGCACTTGCGACGCCTTTTTGTATATATAAAGGGTGGTAAGGTATTTAAATCTCCTGTCTTGTTCTTTAGAGTGTTGATAATAAGTGAGACTTCTGTTGGATTGGTCGGAGCTAGGAATAGTGTGTTCGGGTAGGTGCCAGTGAGGTAGTCATTGGGTGGGGTATTTGAGCTTGGGATTTTATTCACCAGGTTTTTTCCTATGGTGGAGAAGAAAACATTGAGTCTGTTTGCTGTTTCAGTCGGTGGGAGTTGGGGTTCATCTAG